TTTGACTGGATAACAAATGACACAAGGAGTGGGGGAGAAGGGGTAGGAAATAACAGTTAACAAAATAATAACCTAGACTAAATGTATTTTAACAAGCATGCGAGACACCAAAACAACATTTCAAAACGAGTCATCACAATACACGCCGTCCCATCACATCCAGTCCGATCACATCACATCACATCTCATCACGTCCAATCCCATGCCATACCATCATTAGGCAGGAAACGCCATCACGCATCATGTCTACACACACTTGAACAACTAACACATCAACACCTCAATGCATCACCCTCCACCACCATCACTCACATCAACAACACAATCAAACAATAAAACACTCACTCATACAATCACTCATATATTCACTCCTTCATTCAATGACTCACTCGCTCAATCAATCACTCAACCAGCCAAACAGTCAAACACTGATTCATTCAATCACTCAGTTACTCACTAATTCACACACACACACACACACAGACAAGCAAGAGTGAACCAACTCCCATACCACAACCGAAAACACAGCATCATCATGGAAACCAACACGAACACCAGCATCAAGTGGGAAGACAAAGACAACGGCAACATGAATGAATATGAAGTGAATATTGAATGAGTTAATAGGCAGGCAGGTGAATACACGAGTAGGTGTCGTTGGGAGAAGGAACAACACCTAGACAAGCCCAACTGACAGACATGAATGATATTGTTGCATGAACAGTGTGAAGGGTAGTGTCAGATTGCATGGAATGGGAAACTCACCTGTCGTGCTCTCTGACAGTGTATGTGTATGTGTCTGTGCCTGTGTCTGTGTCTGTGTCTGCGTCTCTATCCGTGCCTCCGTTTCCCTCTGCGTCTGCGTCTGCGTCTGCGTCTGCGTCTGCGTCTGCGTCTGCGTCCCTGCACTCTCAGTCTCAGTCTCAGTCTCAGTCTCCACTGTCGTCACTTCGCTTGTCACCTCAGTGTGAACTGTGCAGACAAAGAAGAACACGAAGATTCCATCAACAGTCAGTCAGTGAGTGTTTGAAACAGTGAAGAATCAGTCCGTGTGTCAGTGTGTCAGTGAGCTAGTCAGTCGTTCAATCTGTTAAGCAGTCCGTCACTCAGTCAGCCTGACAGTCAGTCAGTAGTCAGTCAGTGAGTCAGTCAGTCAGTTCAACTGACTGTTTTTCTCTCTGTATTTCAGGTTGTTTATGATTCTGTAGTGCCGTCTGTCACTCAGTCTCTTATTCCCTTGATCAGTCAACCACTCAATCACAAACTCACTCACGCATTCACTGATTCACAAAATCACTCATTCACCATTCCACTCCACTCCACACCACTCCACTCACTTGCTCACTCAATCAATCAACTTATGTCTGGCTCACTATTATTTACTGCGCTCTCACCTAAACTAATCTACCTCACCTTCCCAAACACAATTCAAACATCCACATTCACCCGCCATTTACATCGATCACGCTGACTAAAACACAATACTCCCTCACAATACATGACGCACGTCTACAAATAATCGAACACAGAAATCACACACACACACACACACACACACACAAACGCACATCCACCACACGCTGACAAACACGTTGATAAACACACATTCACGCATAAATTCACACAAAAACACTCACAACGTCACCACTCACTAAACCACAAACACACCGACACACACGCAGAACACATCACAACAACATTTCACACCGACTCCTCTCAATACACACCGTCTTATCCCATCCAACACAATCCAATGACATCCATTCCCTTCGAATCACAACAAATCCCATTCCAACGAATCGGAAGCCATCACGCATCATGTCTACACACACTTGAACAACTAACACATCACCACCTCAATGCTTCACTCTCTTATTTAATTTGGTAGACGTTCATTCTAATATACCTCAACTTTTATTAATCTTGACACTAGTAAGTTACTTTAACAAGTATCTGAGTTGATCACATGGTTTTAGTATTTTGCAAAATTTGATGGGATTATAAATCTGTTGACCGAAAAAAAATAACAGCACAACTATCAATGTGTGTCTAGGAATTCAGTTCTATTCAAACATCATGTTCACCATTATTATCTGGTCTCGAAGATACCTACACTAAGCAAGAACTGTTTCAATGCCTGTCCATTTATCAGACACTTCTAGGTAGTACAGTAATGTCAAACGAAAAACAAACAGAAATCAGAAATCAACTAAATACTGACTCAGAAATTACTCACGGAACAAATATATCGGTTGATGAGATCATATTCGGGCGTACAGTTGGGCTTGACTTCCACAGTCTTCAAGTTTCAGGAAGAAATATGTAGACAAACAGAAGGAGTAGCGATGGACTCGCCAATACCGCTAATCGTAGTAAGTGAATTTATGGATAGTTGGGAAGCCATCTCTTCACAAACTTATAGTCCTGTACCTCAGGTATGGTGGTGATATGTAGATGACACATTTGGTCTGTTGAAATCGGAATATGTCGATAGTGTCTTCATACATATAAACTTAGTAGTGGATGCAGTCCGATTCACACAAGAAACGGAAAGATAACAGTAACATGAATACGAATAATAACGACAACACAAGTAGAAAGGAGTTTACGGCCTCCATTGTGTTAACCCATAAGGAAGGTACGTCAGACACGTTACATGGGATCCTCAACAGGGCTGGAATTAGGGTGGTATTTAAACCTACAAACTCAGTGTGTGAATTATTCAGTCAGTCAATCAATCTGTCTGCAAATCATCTGTGCTCATTACTTAACACATTCATCTACATCACTGAAATTCCAGTTGCTTCACAGGATTCAAATATCCGCCTTCCTCCCTCATTTGCATGGATCAGGCAGTCAAACAGAACACTACTCCCTCAAAATACATGACAAACACCTATAACTAATCGAAGACAAGTGGCACATACGCTGGGAAACGTAGACATCTACACACACACACACACACAAACATTATTCCTCTCTTAGTATTTCTTTCCTGTTGCTGTTTCGCTGCCTTATAGCAACATCTTTGGTCTTCTGTCTAGTTTTCCTTTTATAGGAGTCTTCTTCTTACGAGAATTTCCGCTTCGCATCTTCTCTATTTATCGTCTCCCTTTTCTCGTCTTCCCTTGGTATAACTGTGTGTTATTTTATTTATTCGGATATTCCTTGTCGATCTCTGTGAATATGTCGAACACACGTTTCGTGTGAATTTTTTCCCGAATTTAACTGGAATGATTTGTCCTCACTGTTCGTTTTATTCATATCGTGATTCATCATCTTTAACTGTGACATCTTTCAATACAGTCATGCGCATTCGGCATGATTCTACCATTCATCGTTGCATTCGTGTCATCACATATGCACTCATACATGCAATCACTCATCGGTTCTCGACGCATGGAATCCTTAGGGATGGCTTCTCACTTATATCTTGTCATCGTGTTCATGCATACCATTATTTGTCATCATCCTTCTTTTCGTATCACAATAGCCTCAGACTAGGCATTATTTCCACTAAAGTGTATTTCAAGTTGTTATTCATCGTAAACTAACATCACTTGGAGGAAACAGCTGTCCAGTGCTCCCAGGTTTCCTTTGTTCCTCCAACTGATGTTAGTTCACGATGAATAACAACTTGAAATATTTCCAAGTCTCCACAACTCCCTCAAAAATTCCACTAAACTGTATGGAAATTAAATCGGATCGCTTTTCGTATGTATTGGCTGCATGATCCTGTCACTGTTGTAAGAACTGCACTGGTTCACCCAGCACATCCTTCCACTCTAATGCAAAATACCTGTTTGTCCTTCCTCACCGTTTCCACTCTCAACGCCATTGCAATTTCCTACTTCCCACCATGTCATATGCAGGATGGATGATGGAGTTTCGCCATTCCTCCGTCATAGGATTTCACCAATTCTGTTTCTCGTGATTTCTACTTTGAGCTCGAGCGGTCATCGAATCATACAGTGCCTGCAATGATTAGCACTTGGCTAGTTTGATCTGGTTCGTTGAGTAACTTCAAATGGTGTACACACCAACAGACAACTAGTTCGTGTGTCTGTGAAAGCTTCAGACTGAGATACTACAATCATCATTTGCACACTATGGGAGAACACATATGCACTCGTATCTTCTCGAAAGTGCAGTGATTACAGCTGCAACGAGTGTACAAGTGCATACTGCAGACACCGTCTTACCAGTCAATGTGCGTTGACCAGTTTTATCAGACAATCAAAGTGCCCACTGAATCAACCACTTACTTGGCATCCTGTGTGTTTCCGTAGTCTGAATCTCCGTAGACATTTCCGTCATTGTGCTTTCACTAATAGCTGAAAAATAGTTAACAGTGATCCATGTAAATATTCGAATGTCAGGAAACCAATGGGTAGTGAGTTGTGCGCACTATCATCTGATCAACTTATTCTACTAGCGCTTGCTTGACAATACTCAATATGCCACAAGAAATTCTATCAATCCTATATCCTACACACCCTTCCTCATGTCAGATAAACCCACGAGACGAATACAAACACCATAGCAAAGTGGAACTCATCCAGCCGATTCTCGACAACAACGTCAGAATATACACTATGAATAAAACCAGTGCATTGGAAAACCAAACATAATGTGCATTCCGTTGTAACAGCTACTAGCCACAAAATTAAACGACCAACTGAACACCAAACACACTCTCCTACTTCGTCAAAATCAACACTTCTCCATCACACACACATTGCACAAAAATTAACACAGTCATTCCACTCACCTTCTATCGTTATTTCATTCGATGTGCCAAAGTACACGTTATCAGATCCATTGGCAACTAATTCTGTTGTATATTGCACGATAGCGTTGCGAACAGTGCTTCCTATCGCAGCGGTCGTTGCGAAACTCTCACTGGAAATGTCGTGCTCAATGGTCAGTGTTGCATTTCCAATGACTGATCCACGTGAGAAGCCAACAACTGTGCAGGTGACCGTGATGAGTCCACTGACCTTGGCTGACTTCATGCTGTTCACGAGCTTAGGAGGGAAGAGGGGAGGCAACGAGAGTGTCAGTGGGAGACAAAATTGATTGGATGTGTCATTCGGTGAGAGTGTGGTGCGAAACAGTCAATAATCGGTGTCGTGTCCCAGGTCTCAAGGGCCAACATTCGCGATAGTTGGTGAGACTATCAGAGAGTGTTGGTCGTGGTTTGACATACTCATAGTTGTGATGTGTGGTGGTGACTGAATGTGAAAGGAAAAGGTGAATCACAGCAAGATTCTATCCAGCGGTACTCTACAATTCTGTGGTGCGATGAAATCACATTGTGTGAAATGCGGATTGTCAATGACTGTGATACTTCGAGTGGAGTAGTTTGGTGCAGTGAACTACATGCAACGACTGCCAGATCAAACACATCGGCTACAAATGCCCACTGTGTTGAATTGAACTGACGGTTGATGGGAACTACACCTCCTCTAAAATAACAGACACTGTACACATCAGACATCAAGTGGACAACTCAGTCATCCTCACACATGCAGTAGCTCACAGTTCCGTGTCACCCAGTCTACTGCTTGATGATGGACACATCGGTTAACTGATTACTTGATTGATGCCGGTGTACCTTCCATCACGAAGAGATATCACCTAGAATGCTGTTGTCAACACGACTTTAGTAGACAACTGTGTTGTCGTCGATTCACTAATTGGAAAGTAACTGTTTTGCTCTTCAACGTTGACAGTCGTCAGTCGTCGTCCAATGAAGTAGAATGGAGATGCATGGAACGCATGAAATGAAATGCAAGTGTGTGCAGAGTGTTTGTCTTCCGAAGCACACAAATTGTCGGCACGCTAACATAGAATCAACCTGTTAATCGATAAGAATAATACTCTTAAGACTAATAATGAGATTTAAGCAGATAATACAAGTGAGTTTGGAAAGAGATCATGGATATCAACAGTGACATTTTCCTATAGTAAAGGTACCTCGGAAGAGAAGTGAATAATTTGTCCTAGGTGTGGTATCAGAGTCTACTTGAAATCTCCAAATTCTTTAGAAAATGCCTTAGTTTATTTAACTCAGAGATATAATTCGAAAGATGTCAAAAAAACGACTCTGTATATAAGATAAAATGTATGGATCATGAGGCCAATTATATTGGTGAAAGCTGTAGACAGCTGAAAATTAGATTCAATGAGCTTAAGTTATGTGGCAAACACTCACCAAAGAATGAAGTGGAATTGAAAAGTTTGGAAAAGAGATCGCGATAGCAATTCTTGCCAGTGAAGTTGGACACAAGATTGATTTTGACAATTTTGTCACACCAGGGAATGGTTTTCATTGACCTAAAGAAAGATTCAGCCCTGAAGCCCTACACATTTTAACGTTAACAAATGCTTAAACGGAAAAGAAGGAATCCGTCTGTCACCTATCTGGCAGACTCGAATTCGGCAAAAACATTTAAAAGTCAGCATTTCAAATACAACTTTAACAAAACAAACATTCAATATCAATCAATTATTGTCCATGAATAAAACATGCTTTTCACATTTTCATTCAATAAACAACAAACGACACATGGATTTTTCACAACACATACACACATACTTACTGACACTGTGGTTATTGAATTGCCTTCGATGACAAATGACATGGACCGCATGAATTTATGATGACTAGTTAGCAACAATCAGTCTAAACAACAAATCGGCTAACCAGTGGCGTAAACACAGAAATCGCAAAGTGTACTATTTGACAGTATATATTTTGGTGTTTAATAAAGATTCGAAAATTCTCCTGTGTCATACACAGTGAAACATCCAGGTTGGTAAAACATTTGGGTTTGTCAACACACTGATTTGGATGGTAATACTTGTCAACTTCATATACATGCCTTGATCACACTTTAAAATTTCACCTGACCATTTGACACGATTAAGGAACGAAACTAGACAATCAACATGAAGTGAAGCAAATTAGGCTTGATGTGATATACAGGATGGTAAGATTCGATATTTAACAGGTTCAAGCAGACCACCGAAGTCATGTGATCGAAATGATGCGTAAACAATTCTGCACACACAGAGGTTGTGAGGTCACCAGCATATGACTGTGAATTTCAAGTTATACTAACAATCTCAATCGTTGGAAAACAACCGTTCATTGTGACGCATCGAATCAACAATCCACCATTAAGTGGTACTCTCCAACAGCGTTCACGTTCTAATTTCATACTTCCCTACAGTGTCTGAGTGAAGTTGATCAGAGAGAGAGAGAGAGAGAGAGAGAGAGAGAGGGAGAGAGGAGACACGGGCTCATTACACAGTCACGTGATCCATATGGCATCATGAAAATCACCATCGGTGCTTCATAACACCAGCACACCACTTCAGAACAAAACTGAGTCCACCAGACCCACAATGTCAATGTCTCCTAAGCTGAATACCATCAGGTCACAACACCAATTCACACACCACCCAGTAAGGTCAAACTGCTCACGTAACAATCACCCATTCACGTGCACCAATGCATATGATAAAAAAAACAAACAGAAAGTCATCTTACCAGATCACACAATTCTGAAGCATATTCCTGATATAAGGCCGTGGATGGGTCCAACAGACTGTCGTTCCACTGCACGGATTGATTCGATTTCGTCAGGGGTGATGAGATCACTAGAAGAGAATGAAACCACTGCTTATCACATTGTCTATACATTGAAGCATGTCAGTTTTAGAAAGGCAGTCTTGACCTGATTGCTATGTAGAGTGTGTTTATGCAATGCATCCTGCGTGTCAGGTGTGAAGTATGTATACGGCTCACCTGTTCCTAGACACTACAACACCTCACCTACACCCAAATTGACGTCACAGTACAACCGGTGAGTCATTACCTATGAGGATGACATCCATCTGTTCTCCTTCAGAGTCCTGTGTGCCTCTGTGGAGTTAACAACGTCGTCATAAGTAGGAGTCATTCCCCGTGTGGAATTCACAAATCCGAATCCTGTGAACATGGAGGGAGATGGGATGTCTATCAGACAAATTGGAATGAAGCAGTGAGATTTTGACTGACACATACTGAATTGTCGAAGGACAGTGACTTTTCCATTCTTGATGATGAACTATGCGTCAGATAAACTGGATCAACACTAGCCAATGTGGAGTGAGCTGATAAAATACACATGTAAATATCAATGGAAATACAAATAGTGTCCTATTTGAACTCACCTAAGGATACTGTCTTCACCATCACACCTTGCATTTCGCATTGATTCAGTCGATTGTGTGGTGACGGAATTGCACGTTGGATTCGTTCACGGTTTGTAGACATGTGAAAAGTGAGTAGAGAGAGAAGAGAGTGGTGAGATAACGAAATGTTCACCTCGGATCACGCTGAGAATAGTGAGTCATGTGAATGTGTGTGTGTGTGTGTGTGTGTGTGTGTGTGTCAACGGAATTGTCTTCGATCGGCCATTTCCAGCTTGTACGAAGTAAGTGAGCATGAGACACTACTTAGTAGAACAGAGCAGTTTGGAATGTAACGCATGTTAGGCGTGATATAATAGGGCTTAGCACAACTTACCTAATGTGACAGATGAAGCGAAGTAATAGGTCACAAAATCTGGGCGTCACATGAAAAAACCGAAAAAGGTTAACAGAGAGAATACACCAGAAAACCGGTCCCCAATGCAAAGGAATAGCACCAAACGCCGAATCCATAAAAAGAGAGATAGTAAATAAAACTGCAAGTCAACAACACAGTGATTCATAAAATTATTAACACAGAAGATTAGACGAAAAATTCAGCTGATGCAAATACACAAAATAAACGAAAGTTATCCAAAAAAACAAAGAAATACAAAAGCCCTAAACAAATTAAAGGAAAAAATGGAGAAGAGTAGAAAAAAAACAAAAATATAAAATCCAGCCCTCAAGATACACAACACAACAAAACTCCCAAAAACAAGGTATCCCAGAACACCGATCCGAGTACATCCCAACCTAACACATTAAACGTCATCATGCATCATATCTCCTCACACACAATTCAAACACTCACATTCATCATTCGTTCACATCGATCACACAGACTAAAACACAATACTGCCTCACAATACATAGAGCATTTCTACAAATAATCGAACATACAAATCACACACACACACACACACTCACAATCAAACAAATATAGAGACAACTAAAACAACGAAAATTAACACCGAGTTGTCAAAACACAAAACATCCAATTTCATCAAATCTGATGCATTACCATGACATCCCATCGAATACCATTCGATCCATTAAAAGAACATCCAATCCCAGCTCATGAAACGCCATCACGCATCATGTCTACACACACTTGAACAACTAACACATCAACACCTCAATGCATCACCCTCCACCACCATGACTCACATCAACAAAACAATCAAACAATAAAAAACACCCAATCTTACACTCACACATCCACTCACCGGCTCGATCAATCACTCAATCAATCAATCACTCAGTTACTCACTAATTCACACACACACACACACACAGACAAGCAAGAGTGAACCAACTCCCATACCACAACCGAAAACACAGCATCATCATGGAAACCAACACGAACACCAGCATCAAGTGGGAAGACAAAGACAACGGCAACATGAATGAATATGAAGTGAATATTGAATGAGTTAATAGGCAGGCAGGTGAATACACGAGTAGGTGTCGTTGGGAGAAGGAACAACACCTACACAAGCCCAACTGACAGACATGAATGATATTGTTGCATGAACAGTGTGAAGGGTAGTGTCAGATTGCATGGAATGGGAAACTCACCTGTCGTGCTCTCTGACAGTGTATGTGTGTGTGTCTGTGCCTGTGTCTCTGTCTCTGTCTCTGTCTCTGTCTCTGTCTGGATCTCCATCTCCATCTCCGTCTGTGTTGGCGTTGGCGTTGTCGTTGGCGTTTGCGTTTGCGTGTGTGTCTGCGTCTGCATCTGCGTCCCTGCACTCTCAGTCTCAGTCTCAGTCTCAGTCTCCACTGTCGTCACTTCGCTTGTCACCTCAGTGTGAACTGTGCAGACAAAGAAGAACACGAAGATTCCATCAACATTCAGTGAGTCAGTGTGTCGGTGTCAGCTAGTCATTCAGTCAGTCAGCCAGTCAGTCAGTCAGTCAGTCATACAGACAGTCAGTCAGACAGTCAGTCATTCATTCAGTCAGTCAGTCAGTCAGTCATTCGAACCATGCGGCCAGATTGTCAGTCAGTCAGTCAGTCAGTCAGCCATTCCGTAAACCATTCACTCTCTCTGACTATCACTCAGTCGGTCAGTCGGACAGTCAACTCAACTGACTGCTTCTCTCTCTATCCTTCTCCTTCTCTCTATCTCTCTCTCTGTCTCCCTCTCTCTCTGTCCCTGTCTCTCTCTATCTCTCTCTCTCTCTCTCTTCATCTTTGTCCCCATCTCTCTCTGTCTCTCTGTCTTTCAGGTTGCTCATGATTCTCTATGTCCCTCTGTCACTGAGTCACTCAATCACTCAATCACCTACCTACTTACTCATTCATCCAATCTCTATTTCACCATGTTGAATTGCACTTTCACCTCAACTAATTTAAATACCATTCTCACTCACTCACAATTCAAACACTCACATTCATCATTCGTTCACATCGATCACACAGACTAAAACACAATACTGCCTCACAATACATAGAGCATTTCTACAAATAATCGAACATACAAATCACACACACACACACACAAATATAGAGACAACTAAAACAACGAAAATTAACACCGAGTTGTCAAAACACAAAACATCCAATTTCATCAAATCTGATGCATTACCATGACATCTCATCGAATACCATTCGATCCATTAAAAGAACATCCAATCCCAGCTCATGAAACGCCATCACGCATCATGTCTACACACACTTGAACAACTAACACATCAACACCTCAATGCATCACCCTCCACCACCATGACTCACATCAACAAAACAATCAAACAATAAAAAACACCCAATCTTACACTCACACATCCACTCACCGGCTCGATCAATCACTCAATCAATCACTCAGTTACTCACTAATTCACACACACACACACACACACACAGACAAGCAAGAGTGAACCAACTCCCATACCACAACCGAAAACACAGCATCATCATGGAAACCAACACGAACACCAGCATCAAGTCGGAAGACAAAGACAACGGCAACATGAATGAATATGAAGTGAATATTGAATGAGTTAATAGGCAGGCAGGTGAATACACGAGTAGGTGTCGTTGGGAGAAGGAACAACACCTACACAAGCCCAACTGACAGACATGAATGATATTGTTGCATGAACAGTGTGAAGGGTAGTGTCAGATTGCATGGAATGGGAAACTCACCTGTCGTGCTCTCTGACAGTGTATGTGTGTGTGTCTGTGCCTGTGTCTGTGTCTGTGTCTGTGTCTCTGTCTCTGTCTCTGTCTGGATCTCCATCTCCATCTCCGTCTGTGTTGGCGTTGGCGTTGTCGTTGGCGTTTGCGTTTGCGTGTGTGTCTGCGTCTGCATCTGCGTCCCTGCACTCTCAGTCTCAGTCTCAGTCTCAGTCTCCACTGTCGTCACTTCGCTTGTCACCTCAGTGTGAACTGTGCAGACAAAGAAGAACACGAAGATTCCATCAACATTCAGTGAGTCAGTGTGTCGGTGTCAGCTAGTCATTCAGTCAGTCAGCCAGTCAGTCAGTCAGTCAGTCATACAGACAGTCAGTCAGACAGTCAGTCATTCATTCAGTCAGTCAGTCAGTCAGTCATTCGAACCATGCGGCCAGATTGTCAGTCAGTCAGTCAGTCAGTCAGCCATTCCGTAAACCATTCACTCTCTCTGACTATCACTCAGTCGGTCAGTCGGACAGTCAACTCAACTGACTGCTTCTCTCTCTATCCTTCTCCTTCTCTCTATCTCTCTCTCTGTCTCCCTCTCTCTCTGTCCCTGTCTCTCTCTATCTCTCTCTCTCTCTCTCTTCATCTTTGTCCCCATCTCTCTCTGTCTCTCTGTCTTTCAGGTTGCTCATGATTCTCTATGTCCCTCTGTCACTGAGTCACTCAATCACTCAATCACCTACCTACTTACTCATTCATCCAATCTCTATTTCACCATGTTGAATTGCACTTTCACCTCAACTAATTTAAATACCATTCTCACTCACTCACAATTCAAACACTCACATTCATCATTCGTTCACATCGATCACACAGACTAAAACACAATACTGCCTCACAATACATAGAGCATTTCTACAAATAATCGAACATACAAATCACACACACACACACACACACTCACAATCAAACAAATATAGAGACAACTAAAACAACGAAAATTAACACCGAGTTGTCAAAACACAAAACATCCAATTTCATCAAATCTGATGCATTACCATGACATCTCATCGAATACCATTCGATCCATTAAAAGAACATCCAATCCCAGCTCATGAAACGCCATCACGCATCATGTCTACACACACTTGAACAACTAACACATCAACACCTCAATGCATCACCCTCCACCACCATCACTCACATCAACAACACACTCAAACACTCACACACTCACTCATACAATCACTCATATATTCACTCCTTCATTCAATGACTCACTCGCTCAATCAATCACTCAATCAGCCAAACAGTCAAACACTGATTCATTCAATCACTCAGTTACTCACTAATTCACACACACACACACACACAGACAAGCAAGAGTGAACCAACTCCCATACCACAACCGAAAACACAGCATCATCATGGAAACCAACACGAACACCAGCATCAAGTGGGAAGACAAAGACAACGGCAACATGAATGAATATGAAGTGAATATTGAATGAGTTAATAGGCAGGCAGGTGAATACACGAGTAGGTGTCGTTGGGAGAAGGAACAACACCTACACAAGCCCAACTGACAGACATGAATGATATTGTTGCATGAACAGTGTGAAGGGTAGTGTCAGATTGCATGGAATGGGAAACTCACCTGTCGTGCTCTCTGACAGTGTATGTGTATGTGTCTGTGCTTTTCTGTGTCTGTGTCTCTGTCTCTGTCTCTGTCTGGATCTCCATCTCCATCTCCGTCTGTGTTGGCGTTGGCGTTGTCGTTGGCGTTTGCGTGTGTGTCTGCGTCTGCGTCTGCGTCTGCATCTGCGTCCCTGCACTCTCAGTCTCAGTCTCAGTCTCAGTCTCCACTGTCGTCACTTCGCTTGTCACCTCAGTGTGAACTGTGCAGACAAAGAAGAACACGAAGATTCCATCAACATTCAGTGAGTCAGTGTGTCAGTGTCAACTAGTCATTCAGTCAGTCAGTTAGTCAGTCAGTCAGTCAGTCATACAGACAGTCAATCAGACAGTCAGTCATTCAGTCAGTCAGCCAGTCAGTCAGTCGAACCATGCGGCCAGATTGTCAGTCAGTCAGTCAGTCAGTCAGCCATTCCGTAAACCATTCACTCTCTCTGACTATCACTCAGTCGGTCAGTCTCACAGTCAACTCACCTCACTGCTTCTCTATCTATCCTTCTCCTTCTCTCTATCTCTCTCTCTGTCTCCCTCTCTCTCTGTCCCTGTCTCTCTCTATCTCTCTCTCTCTCTCTCTTCATCTTTGTCCCCATCTCTCTCTGTCTCTCTGTCTTTCAGGTTGCTCATGATTCTCTATGTCCCTCTGTCACTGAGTCACTCAATCACTCAATCACCTACCTACTTACTCATTCATCCAATCTCTATTTCACCATGTTGAATTGCACTTTCACCTCAACTAATTTAAATACCATTCTCACTCACTCACAATTCAAACACTCACATTCATCATTCGTTCACATCGATCACACAGACTAAAACACAATACTGCCTCACAATACATAGAGCATTTCTACAAATAATCGAACATACAAATCACACACACACACACACACAAATATAGAGACAACTAAAACAACGAAAATTAACACCGAGTTGTCAAAACACAAAACATCCAATTTCATCAAATCTGATGCATTACCATGACATCCCATCGAATACCATTCGATCCATTAAAAGAACATCCAATCCCAGCTCATGAAACGCCATCACGCATCATGTCTACACACACTTGAACAACTAACACATCAACACCTCAATGCATCACC